CCTATTTAAGAAATAGAACACCTTTGCAACAGAATGGTGATTGCATGGTGCTACTTTTAAAGATAGAATTAAACAGTCGACCCTTTAAATGACTGTTGCAATTAATTGGAAACGCACAACTCATATGCATTTACATTTCTACTATGGGAGGTGGCCTGAGATCCTGGTTTTGTACGCCCGAGACATTGTCTCCAGGCCACCTTGCAAAGAATCCCTACAGGGAAGAAAGTCAGGATGCAGGAGAGATGTCTCTACATGTCTGCACACTTCATGGTTCCGTAGACCTGAAACACTACTTCCAGGCCACCTCGCAAAAAAATAACCTGGCCAGGAAAGTGAAAAGATGTCTCTACATTCAAGGTGGCCTGGGATCCTGGTTTTGTAGAGCCGAAACACTGTTTCCAGGCCATCTCGCAAAGAACCCCTACCAGAAGCCACGATGCAGAAGAGACCATTGCCTCCTTTCCTGTAGGGCACATCAGTGCTCTCAGAAGTCCGGAACCGGCCTGGGAATCGTGGCCTTTTGCGCAAGAGCTTCTTAACCTCAGAAGGGGCTCATGACAGGTTGGAACTCTGATTCAGCTGGCCTCATACATTTTCTCACACTCGCCGCAAGAGGCGAAAAGCTGCCCAACTTTCCGGCGGCAGCCACCTCTAGAGCTCCACAAATGACAAAACGCTCATGTACAGCCTCGGCGCATCTCATTTGGGCAAGGTGTGCGTCTTACCGGCCTCCAAATGCAGCTGCTTCACAGAAAGCAAGCAGGTGCCCCTGGGAACCGACTTCTTGTCCTTCACCCTAACTTTCAGTCCTCCGCTAATCCAAAGTTCAGGTCTTTACTTGCACCCTTTCTCCACTCAGATCAAGTATACGGCTCAGTTGTTTTTACCGGCTTCCTGTGTGTCTTTCCGCCGCTTCTGCGGTTGAAGCCAAACATGGCCTTGCGCAATGCTCGCTTGGACAATGGAGGTTCTTCAGGGGCTGGAAAACCCAGGCGCATCAGCTGCTTGCTTGTTCTCGGATTCGGCTGCGCAGTGATCCGGCAGATCTGGTGTGTCCAAGCCGGCCTCAGCCTCATCCTTAATAGCCTCATTGCTCTCCTCAACCACTTCCGTCTGTTCTTTCTTATTGTTCATCTTATTGCCACTTTGAGATCATGAGCGCCACCCTCATTTTCGACCTTCTCCTGGAGTATCTGCTTCAGCAAAGTCGTCGCCGCAAAGATCTTGAAAAGAAGCGCCCTGACCTCGGAGGAGAAAGTCCTCCATGCTGACTTCTACTCTTCCCTCTCTCTGTGCTTCAGCCTCAACTTGCGACGCACAGGTGCGTTTCAAGCAAGTAGGCCAAGCTGAGAGCTGACTGACGAGTCAGTCTTTCGAAACAGCCAGTGGCCTTAAAGTTGATGGGCCAGCCAGAGAATGATATACCTAGATCTTCAGTCCGGTACTTTTACAGGGTCCGGTGCCGGACTTCCAACTCCGGCGTTTTTCTGGATTTGGTCCGGCACTTTTCCAAGTCACTTTATGTGTGGATTCTCAAGGCTTTGCATTCTTTGTGGTCTGCATTTTTTTTGAAGGTAAACCCACTACTGATGCAATGATGTTGTTTGCAAAGTGTGCTCGTTTGCTTGTTCCGCTGTTTTCTCATTCCACCGGTTTCAGCATGGTTCACACTGGATCAATCAGATCCGTTTAGGTGATCTTCTAAATGAATCCGGATGAAGCCGGTACAGTGCGACGCACGTGTTGAAAGACCCAAGTGGGCGTACCTAAGCTGAAAGAACATAGGCAAAAACGTACTCCCATTGTTTCAGGATGTCGGGGCGCTGGGATATAGTTCTAGCTGCGCAGGTTTGCAGAGCCTGCCGGACAAGTTTTGGGCTTTGGAACATGTGTTGTTCAGAATCTCAATGTTTTGCGGAGAATTGCCAAAGAATGGCGCGTCGTAACTCCGGCGTAATTTCCCGTAACTCCGGCGTAATTTTTTGGACTGAGTCGTCTGCAGGTATTGATTTTGAAATGTGTTTTCAAATAAGAGTTTTGACAGGAACCATGAGTTCTGCTACTTTCTTGGGGGGGCCGTCCTGAGGCAAGCTTTAAAGAAACATTGAGAACAACCCACTTTGTAACAAAAAACTTTAGAGACATGGTTGCAGAGAAAGAGGGGTTCCTTGCCACATACTCCTTGGTTTCTTCTTGGAAGTCTTTGCTTGGGCAAGAGTTGCTTACACTTTGTGATGGTTCTGCTCTTAGGCCATTCGGAAGAATGGCGAGGGCAATGGGAACGGGAAGGCTCCAGCGCTGGGCTGTGGAATGAGTGTGCTTCAGAAAAGCTATTCGTGGCGCAAAGGCAGTTTCCTTGTGTATGATCCAACCTTTTATCATCTCTGTTTTTCAGAATCTTGGATCCGGATGTTTTTTTCACGTCTCCGGCGTTTTTTCGGAATCCAGCGGAAAATTTTGCCGGATTGAGGTCCGGCACTTTTCTCCGCCCAGAGGAGGATCCAGGTATGACAGGATGTGATTACTAATAATTATGTTAACTTTCAACACGAATCCAAGACTAATAGCCAAATACGATGCATAATTAGTAACATAGATGTCAGTGTATGGAAATCGTCAAACATCCAAGCCCCTGGCCACATAGACACACGCAAGGCGCCAATGCTGTCAGGCCCGTCGTAACACTTCCATGCTATGAACGGAATAGCAAAGAGCCCTAGGGCACCACATCGACAGCAACAAAATTTTTATGAGAGAGATGACTCGACATGAATCTAAATGTATCCCCTTTTCTATGCCCGGGAAGATGAACATGGAACCTGAATTTGGGCCTTTGGAAGACAACTTTCCTTTACTCCGTGGCTTTCAGGCTCCAGAAAAAAATTTCCAGGACGTATTTTTTTCTCCTCTTTCATCCGTCTGAATCCATGAATGGCCTTTTACCATTCGTTGGTTGATTGATCAAGAGCATACCCGGTCGTGCACCTATATAGATATATATGATACCAGATTGCTATTGCGCGCCTGCGCAGCGTCGAATTCCGCAGCATACCATTGCGGGCAATCCCGGGAAACTGCCAGGAGCTCCTTGAGATCTTCATCCAGCTGAATAACTTGGACGCCCAGGTGTCCTCGCAGCTGCACGCGCTTGACGAACACCAGCGCCAGGAGGTCTTGGCACCGGGGATCTTCGTGCAGAACGCGCCTGGGATCGGAAAACAAAGGTGACCGGCAGGGGAAACTACAAGGAAAATCAATGGTGGGCAGTGAAATGTGGGCAACTCACTGTCTCCATCTTGGCGCCCCTCCCCAATTTTCATGCCACAATTTTGTGTTTCCACTCACACCCTCCAAGTATTTGGCGCATCTTCACTGCACCACACCGAGGTTCGCAACACCTCGACGGCCGTGCACAGCCGCATCACCAACGTCCTCGAGGGCCGCAACGCCATGGCCCGCGCGCCCGACGCCGACGCCACGAAGCGCCGCCGGCACCGGCACCGGAGCCGGAGCCGTAGCCGGCGGCGGCGGCGCGGCAGCAGAGCCAAGCGGCGGCGGTAGAGGTGGGAGCCGAAGAAAGGGACACTTGAGGAGATGGTTGATGAATGTTGATGTTTTTTTGGTGGGCTTACGGGTGGACAGAAGAAAGGCGAGCAAGGTGTAAATACAAGATCGTTGGTCGAATAAGTGCCCGATCGATGATTTGGGAAGAATGGGTTACCTCTGGCGTCATTTCAATATGTTTTTATATTGAAAAACACAGCAACCAATTGGCAACCAATCATAATTTGAGACAACGTGTCTGGAACATGACTCGGTCATGCAGCAACTTCAAAACCATACCACAATTGAACCCCCCCCGAAAGATCAACATAGAATCAAAAAAACTTAAATTAATATATAACTAACATCCAGCAAAATGTTGCTCTCCTAAAATCAGTTTTGGTTAGCAAAGAAGTGGATTCAGGGTTTCTAGTCTACTATGGAGGTCTATGGATGGTTTTTAGTGGTGATTGTGAGTTTTTTGGAAACTCTGCGTGCCTCTTCCGGCAAACCCTTGGTGCTGGATGCCTGGATGCACTGCATAGTACACTTTGACGTGCGCACGTCGACATGGTTACGTGGATGGCATGGGACCTCGGACCGCACCGCTTCTGCTGCACCGGTCAAGGCGGGCGGCAGCTTCTTCATCGGCTTGGGGGCTGGAGGAACGCCCGCGGAGCCGAAGCCCGCGCGGAGCCGAAAAGAGGGTTGGGCCGAAAAAGAAACAGAGAACCTTCTGCTGCTTTTGTGTGAGTTGATGCGGATGCCATGTGGATGTGGAATGAGGGCGTATACTGCGCGAAGGCCTCCTGTGTAATAAGCGGATGTTCAGTGGAATTCCCACAGCTTTAGGATCTTTCAGGATTTCTCAGAGGGGGGCAGTTCTTAGGTAATTAGCACCAGGAGTTCCACGGCTCCAATTACACACCAGAAATGTGTTAACTTGATGGTGGTAGCTGGGATTTGTTGAGAGCAGAGTGTCAGGCATCAGCTCGAATTCCTTCAGTAATCATTGCACAGAGTTGCAAGGATTTTTCGACCAAGACCTGCACAAACTGCCCAAGCATCTCTTAGTCAATCTTGATCAACCACAATCCTTTTGAGGATGGCGGATAGGTAGGTCCTTCCATACCGTCACTGCAAACTCAACCTCTGTGCAGGTTGAAAAACGCAGGATCGTAGACCGTTGCACCAGACCACAAGGGCCGGCCTATACCCGCCCCATCCGCAAGACCATCGGGTCGTTGGTCTATTTCGGGGTCGGGTACGGTAGGTGGGCCATCCCTTAGCCAGTGACCTGAACTAGGACCTTCTTCTGGGGTACCAGATTGGGATAGTCTATAGGGATGGTGGGGGTTCTGAAGGCCTTCGAAGGATCGAAGAAAGAACGTCGGAGGGGCTGTAGGATCGAATCGCGAATCGCATACGACGAAGCACCGCGGTGCCTCTCCAAGGTGCTTCGCGGATCCAGCGCAAGGCGCTTGTCTTGGGCTCGGGTGCATGAGGCGTTTGAGGAGGTTGCAAGGCCGACGGCCGCATAGGCATGCATAGGCGTTTGAGGAGCTTCTTCGGAATCTTGAGGAGCTTCCAGGTTGAAGACTCATCCTCAAAGAAGAGTGGACGGCCAATTCGTAGAAGGAAGGTATCGTGATCCTAGTCGAGTGCGAACCCAGTGGGATTCGTCCACTTCCGGAGGCCTAGTGGGTGTTCTCCTGGCCAAATCCCATGAGTCCAGGGACGACCCCCAACACGAATTCGACTCGACGTGGCGTATGCCACGGTTCCGGCTCCAGCTAGGAGCGTTTTGGCCACAATTACGCCGTTTGGGCGGAAAGTGCCCGCTGAGAAGGTGTTTGCGGTGGGTTTATTTGAGGAGGTATGACTGGAACCCTCAAACCCAACTTTCAGTCCATATTCGGGGTCCGTTTGAGCTGCATCAGCTCATTGGAGGAAGTCGGGGTGGACATCCACTCACTTAGAGACAAACACCGTGCACGCCTTTGTGACTTCTGGTAGTTGGTATGTTTTTAAATACATATTCAACAATAAAACATCCAACACCATCAAAAACCTTCATGTCATGGTCGTTTTCGCCCAAGGAACCCTTGACTCGCCTTCCTCGCTTGGAGCGTCGTTCTTCCTCGCTGCTCCTCAGACCCCTCCGAGCTCGCCGTGGCCTTCCAAAGCTTGCTGCGCACTTCCCGCGCAGGCGTGGAGCACGGCGGGGGAGAGGCCGGCCTTCGCGCAGGGCGATCAGCGGAGGATCGATCGATGCAAGAGGATGCTCCGGGGGACAGGCAGGCTAGTCAAGTGGTGTTGTGGTTCCGTGGGGGTTTCGATCCCGGAGCGCTTTCCCTCGGTGTCTTCGTTCTGAATCCAGGAAAGCTATCAGCAAAACGAGCGAGCGATGATGGGGCTCTTTTAAGGGAGATGGGGAGCTTGCTGCCCGGAAGATCACACACACAAAGCTCAGGCAACTATCATTGAAGAATAAGAAGACTGGCATCACCCGCAATTGTAAATTCATTCATAATGGCGACACATGACTGCTTGCCTCAGCTTTGGAGACCATTTATGTAGGCTTGGAGGGCCCAGTCGTACCTCCTGAGAAGGTATGTGGATCCCTAAAAAAAACCTGGAAAAGGGACACATCTTCCAGGAGCACAGCCCAAAATTCACGGCCCATTCTATCGGTCGTGTCAAGACCCATCCCAACCCCTGGCGCCTGGGCGATGTTCAGGTGATCTTGTCGTTCTCCCAAACTAAACTGGTTCAACCATGTGAAACCGCCAGTGAAACCGCCATATAGACCCATACCGCCCATACCTGGTTTAAATCATGTCTATTTTTCCTGTCTCCGAAACCATCCAATCCCAGCAACCAAAAAACACCGACTTAGGCCATTGGCTGGAGATCATGAAGAGCCGCGACTTGGATCCAGGTGTGCAAGGACCCGCGTCCGCGCTGTCCGGTCGACCCGGCCCGGTGAGACAGGGGGGGCCGGGGTTGGGGTTTCAGGATGCACATGTAAAAAACAAGCGTAGAGGGATTTGTGAGGGGGTGAGGCGGTTATGCGACTTATTGTGGTGGGGATGTTGTTCTTTTCTTGCAGATGGAAACGAGGTCCATCGGTGAGGGTGGATGCTGTTCGTTTCATGTCCTTCCTTCAGCTCCTTCTGAGTGTTGGAACCTCGTTTCGTCATATATTGTCCGGCTCCCAGCGGATGCCGAAAAGGATAGCTTTGGGTGGACGCTGTTCGTAGTGCTGCACCGAGCTCACCCCTTTGTTGATGAGGAAACCCACTCGTCGACCGCCGCACTCCCCGTCGCCCCGGAGGATACACCTCCGTCCTCACCTCGTCGCGCGGCGGCTTTGAGAGACGTTGAGTCGAGTTGTGGACTGACTTTCTCCACTGAGCTGTGGTCGTTTGGAAGAAAGGAGGAGACATATGATCAATAAAAGGGGTTCTATTCTATAGTTGGATCATCTATCTATATATATTATATAGATCATGTTAGATTGAAGTAGGATCTATACTTGCATGCTTTGATACTTGGGTGCGGTCACATGCTACAATTGGGCCTAGATAACACCATAGTCATTCACCAGTTCTTTTTGCCGGGATGTTGTGCCTTGGGACGGCACACCCTGCCAAGCGTGATGTGCGACCATACAAGATGCCGGTGATTGATGAGATGCGTCAAGAGCTTTCGGCTCAACATTTTAGGTGTATAATTCAACATATTCCACACCATCCAAAGAAACTTGGACGCTGCAGTCCAATCCACCTTGCTGGTGTTGGAGGTGGCCAACCTAACAGCAAGGGTGCCTGCCAGACCTCAAAAAGACATCGGGCCAAGTTCAAAGATCTGTGTATATCAGGTGCTGGGGGGGGGTCTGATGTGCTGGCGAGGTTTGATCCGATGTGCAGCCCTGCAAACCCGAGGTATGGCCACCGGAACGATCCAGAAGCTGCTGAGAGATGCTTTGCAGAGATGCAGAATGCAGGGGTGAAGGCGAGAAGGTGGACTGAATGGACCAGAATAGGTGGATGTGATTGGATGTGCACGAAAGGAACATTGGGCGTTGCCTTTTGCAAGTCCACCCCATGCATTTCAACATGACTCATCATTACCCCTTTGCCTCCAAGAACTCCTACTCCGCCCTAGCTCTCACACGGTGACATGCGCCGCGGTGCTCTCAGGCGGATGTGAAGTGCTACGGTGCCATGATCCGGACGCTCAGCTGGGCCAATGAGAGCTTGAAGGCTTCCGCAGTCCTGCGAGAAGCCAAGGCATCGGGGATCGATGGCCGTGTGGAAGCGATGGCCAAACATGCAGCATCGCGATGCTCCGAGTGTTTTGGGACGAGGTGGGCCCGGGTGGTAAAAGTGATGGCCATGGGCGCAGCCCTTTGATGGTTTTGCATGTCTTTTTTTCACCATCCCTAGGCCTCCAAGAAACTTCTGAGAAGGTGTTTGGGGTGGGTTTAGAGGGTCCAAATTCCCTTTGAGGAGGCACTTGGAGCCCTAGGGCATCATGGATCATCCAGAATTCAGAATGCCTTAGGGCCTTTTGAAACGATGATGGACGAGCATCGAGTATTGGGGGGGGCTTCTTCGACCCGGGTTTCGAGCGGATCACCCTTTGACTTTGTCACAGGACACCTGCAACAGTGGGTAAACAGGCAGGAAAAGATACGGAACGATAGGAATTAATATATAGTAGATGGAATTAGGGGCTTGGAATGGGGGATGATTCCTGGAATTGCGAATCCCTTTTGATCCAACTGGAGGGGAAGTTGGACGCTCACCCCAATCCCAGACACTCCATGGGACTGCCATATATATATATGCCTACATTGGGGTGGTTTGAGGGGTCAATGTAGACATAAGTGTAGACATACATGGCATACATGGAGCGTTTGGGAAAGATAGGCTGAGGCTGAGATACCGTTTCACCAGGTTGGCGTCCACTCCGAATGCTCCAGCAGCTGCTCCTTCCGCCAGGCCCTGCGGCTGGCGGACGGGACCATGTACCACCAGGTGCTGGCGGCGTGACTTGGAAGTATTTGGCTCTTGGAAGTTTGTGTTCCACCAGGTTCCACCCAAACAGACTAGACATATTAGTTATATACAAATAACCTTGGTCATGGAAGACTTGCAAAAACAACTTGCCGAAGGCTTCTAAATCCAGTCAACAGTTTCTTGGAATCATTGAGGGAAGCCACTGTGAAGGACCGAGTTTAGCTGCACCTAGGGACCTAGCTGACTGCCCGAGCCAAGAGATCTTGGTAGTAAGGCTGAAGTTACACCCAGTGAAGTACCCAGTGGCATTGGTTGTCACTTTTCCTCCCAGGCTGGCGAGAGCCAAGCAGCATGACCAGGTCACGACGCTCTTTGAAGAGATGGTGCGGAGCCCCAGAACAGGGGTGACGACATGTGACGACAGTGACTTGGCAAGATCCGACAATCCTACCAAATTAATATGTTGGTACATACCACTGGACCTGCCAATGAATAGACAATCAGAGATACTAGCTAGCATACAGCCTAGCATACATGGATAGATATGAAGACGACAGGTGAAAAACCGCTGCATGTAATTACCTTCCGAAAAGTCCATGGACAGCGTGATGCATGCTCACATCAGATGTCCATCCTCTCGGTCCCTCGGTCCCTGCTCACTCCTTTTCTCGACATCGCCATGCTTTTTGCTTCGCCATACATCACCGGCGTTCGACCGAACCAGGGAGTTGTCTCGCTTGTTCAGCGGGGCCTGGGGTGCCAGTGCGGCCGTTTGCCCAGTTCTTCTTCAAAGCCTTGTCCTCACACCGTGGATGGAAGAACTGGTGCCGTTGGTGGAGACATCCCGTTTGATACATATGCGGCTGGTGCACTCATGTTTTGGTGCCAGACTTTTGCTGATTGCGAGAGATGGCGAGAGCACAAGGTGTTCTTCGGCTGGCGCATGATGAAATCGTGTTGAAACCCTTTGAAGCTTCTGGAGCTTTGTGCTGTTCCTGGAGGAGGTTTCAAGATTTATAAATAGCAATATGTTCTTAGCCCAGAAGATCCAAGGAGATCATGTAGCCCCAAGTTACTGTTTGTGATGCTCTCCATTAAAATCCTTTGGACATCATAAGAGTTTCCTGCCCTTGCTTTGTAGACCCTCTAGGTCGCCTTGACAATTACCTCCTGCACTTCAAACTATACAGATGGTTGATCAGGGTCGTTGCAACTTTGACACTTGCATGGTTGGAAGATGTTGGACGATTTTGTCCATTGCTTTCTGACCATCCGAGTCTCGCGACGCTGGCCATGGTTGGAAGATTGGAAGATTGGTACTCCAAGATGTGAAAGTCGACGCGTTTTGATAAATTGTGCGTCCCAGTTTGGGGAAAGATTTTTGGAAGTCAATGTTGCGTCCTGTTTGTGTTTAAGATGTACGCGTGCGCAAGCATTCAGAAGCTTTTGGGGCTCCAGACTTTCCAAAGCCCGCTCCCAGTCCTCCCTTCTTCGCTTCCTCAGGTTTCTGCGGGCATCCAGCCAGGGCCAGCAGCGCTGTCCAGCTGCCTGATCGAGCTGCTGTTTGGGTGAGTTTGGGTCACTTTTTGCCGGTGTACGCTCCATGGAGTAGTCATGGAAGTGGACAAAAACACCTGTTTGTAGACTAGTGACTAGAGGAAAATGGTCATCCATACGCTTGGTGATGGGCCCCCTCAAAACAGAAAGGTGTCATTCCTCATGTTCATCCCAATGTGACCTCGTTCATTGTGAGCCAAACCCAGCACAACTGGAATGACTCTGAGCAAGTGGCAGAAACATACCGGTATGTAAACCATGATAAACAGAGACCACCGCCAATCATGAGGTGCCACAAAAATCTAGTGTGAAACCGGACTCTTGCGAGCCTGAACCACCTGCACCGCGGAACTCCAGGCAGCCGTAAGCGTAAATAAAAGTCTTTGTCCCGTAGGTGATTCGGTTGGTCTCAAGCCAGGCCCTGGCCGGAGGGGGTCGAAAGTGTTGCCCGTGTGGGCTGTGTTTTTGGTTATGTAGGGGGCGTTTGAATTGGTATTGAACGCTGTGTAATGCAACATAATCTAACTAACAAGGCTTTGATGGTATTTCAGCTCCAGTGATGAAAACTGGAGACGTCTACTGCTGTTTGGGGTCAAGATGTGCTTGCTGAACCCCCGCCCTACTTGCATATGTGAACTACGCCCTGGACTCCGGACCACATCATCCAAGACCAGGTCCCCATCTCCAACCACCAACTCAGCTTGCCTCATCCTCGAGGCTTGCGCGCGGCCACGGCCGGCAGCAAACGCGGAGATTCTCCGCCAGCGCCGTCGTTTGGAAAAGTGTGACATGCAGCGAATGCGGCGGAGCAAAGAACACCCTGGACAGCGACATGTTTTTTTGGAAGCATCGAAGAGACGGTGTATGGGAACCTTCACATTGCGAGGCTCCAAAAGGGTCCTTCGATTGGCCTTTCGTCATCTCGTCGTGCTGGGCCTGGCCCAGCTCCCTTTGAATAGGGCTGGGAACATCGGGATGACCTTCCCAGGATCTTCTGCTGATGAGAGAGGTGGAGTTCACTGAGGAATTGGTTGGCCAATCCTGCTTCAAACCAAGACATGTACCAAATCAAACAAAGTGTACCAAGCCTGCTTCAAACCTCACCAAAAGATGTATCATCATTTACCAACTATAAACCACCTGTGTCAGTATATTCATGTATATTCAGTGTGTCTTCATGTTGGGCCACCTCGCCATTCCTCGCAACCCGCTCGCATGACATGCGAGCTGGATCCTCTCAAACGAAACCTGGATCCCGTGTGTGGTCGTTGATCAGTTTGTTTGATTCATCCCTTCCACTCACCTGCAGACACAAGCCCTGAAATGCTTCGGCGAGTGCAAGAGTCAAGAAATCATTGTTCCATCTATTTAGACAAAAACAATCAATAGGGCTGCGTTTAAAACATAACAAATAAAGGGTACTCACTCTTGTTTATTGATGTTGTTTTGCATTTTGAGTCTCCCTATTTCTAAGACACTTTCGTGTGTAATTCATGCTCAGTTTTACTTCTGCAAAGACGTTGCGTGTCTTCCCTCTGGGGCTAAAGGAAGAGGTGGCAGCCTGCACTGCATGCAGCCTGAGGTATTGGAGGTCTATAGGGTCGCATATAGGTCGCAGCAGTTGAAGGGTTGACGAATCCCACACGAAAGTGTGTTTGGAGTTTGCAGGCCTTCGCTCTTAGGTTGGAGGCCATCGCTCTAATTGTTTGATCGATTCCAACCCCAGCAGGTCTGGAGTTTTGCTGCGGTTTCGCTTCAAAGTTTGTCTAGCAGCCAGACCCAATGGCCTTGTCACAAACAGAAGCCCTCCAGGACAACTCATATCCCGGGTGTTTCTCCGTGACTTTTTGGAGCTCTGGGGTTTCCACCGGCTTCCCAGCTAGTTTTTAGGTCATTCACTTACTGTAGCAACAGTCACAAAGATATACAGTAATGCTTGTGCAATATTGCAGTAACAATTATATGTACAACAAGCACGGTGACTCACTATGTTACAGGTTGCCGCCTATATTGAAGTAGAGACTAGAGACCAATAACATCCCTCAAGGTTGCAACCTTGAGTGGTCTAACAGATCCACCATTCTTCACCAAGTTGGTCATGTTCCTGCCACAACGAGCAGCAGAAAGGTACATCCCAGCCTTTGCGAACGTGACAGTTCTGCCGAAGAGGGGACAGAAGGCGCGGTCGAATGGTAGAACGTGGCAAGACCAATAAGACCGCGGCAAGACGGGCAAGTATTCAGAGCCGACCGATGTACCAATACATTGAATTTCATACAAGCATTAGATCCGTCATGTGTTAGCTGTTTGACGCTCTTTGGAGGCCCTGTAATAACCCATTGGTATGGATACTTTGAAGACTGCAGGTGCTGGCATCCTGGTATGTGAACTTTGCTTTACAGTGGTTTCAGAGTAGATGGCACAACCCCCAAGATGTCCTGTATATAAGGGTCCAAATAAACCACCTTTTGGGGATTGTTCCATTTAAACTTCTTCAATCGACTGCAGTGGGCTTGGTTTAGACCTCCAAAAGTCTCAATGTCCAAGATCAGGAGCTCTCAGTGTTATGTTGATAGCGCCCAAACCCGATGAACATCGATGCCAGTGCATGCCAGTGTCACATGGCCAAGCGATCACTGATGAACACCCATTTGGACATATGCTAGGTGTAGAGTGATCCCCAAATAGATAGTCGCACGGTGTCCAATACATTTTTAGTGGGGATCTACTTTTCTATCTACTTGGGGTTCTCTATATCTTCACCACATTTCAGGAAGTGATTGATGCAGTCGCCCTTCCTGATTCAACTTCAAAGGTAAGGGGAGTAAGTGGCCGGATCTCAGGTCCCAACCGGCTGCTACCCGGCTGGCTGGGTTGCAGACCGCCCTTGGCAGGAAAACCAGCCCTGCGAGAAGGCGTGCCGACGCAGAAGTTCGGTGAGTATTGCAAAAAAGCTTCAGTTTTGATATGTTTTGATTGTCTTTTGTGTCCCGACCGGTCCCCACCTGGTCGAGCAAATGCTATAATTTGTACATTTGTACGCATTTGCATGAATGAAATTTGGAACGCAAATGTGACTTTGAGGAAGAGAAGCCGAAACACCTGGGCTCAAAAAGACACTGTCCCTTGTTGGTAGCATAGGTCCCGTTGCACAGCCAAGTGGAACCACGTGCCCTTGGACGCTGTCGTCAAAATTCCAATTTAAGAAGATCAATGGATCATGCCAGCACCAGCCGAGCACTTGGTGCATCTCACCTCAAAACCACCTCAAAGCTCTTGAAAAGGAAAGACCTTCACCTCCCGAGACCTTCGGAACCCGCCTCCCCCCCACTCCACAAGGACGAGATCGCGGGTGCTTTGTCGAAGGTGAACCTTGAGATAGTGTGGAGATGTGAAGCATCAATTTGGTGGATCCAGTGAATCCACCTTTCAGCTTTCAATTTTGATGTCAATCATCAATGACCTTTCAGCTGAAAGGTGTCCAATCATTTGGTGGTTCACCCTTCAGCTTGAATTCAACTGTTTGGTGCCATCATGTGTCATCCCATCAGTGAAGCGAAGCTCTTTTGCCCAGAACCCCGGTCGGGGCATGTTTGGGTGAAGGCCGACCCCCTGTCATAGAGTCAGGTAGATCCGCACTGAGAGTGTGGACACGGTGCCACGCATTTTCCTCTTTGGGGATTTGGGGGGGATTCACATCTCAACGTCAACTTTCAGGTCTTCGTGTGGCGCGTGTATCTTTTTCTCCGTGCTTTTGGTTTCCATTGCAGCTCCTCACAGGTGTCCATCACGGTAGGTCCTTAGGTTGTGTCCCGGGCCGAGGACCATGCGTGTGTTTGTTGGTTCACATTCATGGTGTGGCTGTTCATGTGGCTGTGGGGTTTGTCAGCCGCAAACCCACCAAAGCATGGTTTCCGTGGACGGAATCTGTTCAGAACTTATTCCGGGGTCCCAGAGTGTTCCGGGGCCATGAGGCCACGGCCATGCGTTTTGTCCGTCTAGGCCATTACCTTGCGCCAGCTCTTAACCCACACCTCCGGTCAGGCGCTCAGGCCGAAGCTGGTTGATGCAAGAGCTGGTTGTCTGACCAGAGTTCCAACAAAGGGAAGCACCGCCTGGTACTTGTGGCCTTCAAGCACCATGGCATGTCTTCTGTCAGTGCCTCCTGTTGATTTTTGAGGGCATCATATATGACAAACCCCACCCCAAAGAGCTGACGGAGTCGACGCCTGAGGCATTGGCTATGGCGCAACCTTAGATGATCCCTGGCCACCAGAGAAAGGCCACTCAGATCCTAAAAGGCGATTGCTTATATAGACGGGTGGTGGTAGATGGGATTTTGAAATAGCAGATGACTCAAGGGCCCGTAAAAGACAGTTGACATGATGATTTTTTTGTTGTGGGGTTTCTTCATGACGCAAGACTCAAGACTCATTGTAGGAGGTCTTCATGTGACATCAAATGGTTCAAAACACCCTCTTAGCGAAGGAACCATGTGGCAGCATCCCGAGCTCCCTCATCATCATGGATGTTTTCCTATCGGAGCATGGTAGGACAATAATATGCCCTGAAAGAAGACGATGTCACCCAACCAAGCATTTTCCCCTGCCTTTACCTCCCATTCAACGAGGTGGGACAGCAAGTTAGTCCCCAGCTTCTGGCAACCAGCTCGGTTGAGAAGGGTCTCCTGACTTGTTCAAAGCACTCCACGCAAAGATATCGCGGTCGCTGCTGGCAGGATGTAAAAAGCAGTACCGGAAGTCAATGATTCAGGTCGCATTGGTCACATTTGAGACCTGTTGCAGGTCTTTGGCCTCAAGTCTCTTGCAATTCGAGACCAAATATCAAAAAAAAAACAAGACGTTGAAAAACAGCACTTCCTGGACCTTCCCCACGTTCTTTTCACCCGGCGCCAAACACCGCCCAGTCGGGGTGGAACCCCCCTACGGAAGGCGCGTACTACAAGATCTACGAGGAACTCTCGGAACGCACCAAGAGCCCGGAGTCCGAACCGGGCCGAACCTTCGGAGGGAGAGCCGAGCCAACGAAGAGGCCGACGAGATAGCTTTTTATCTCCGATGCGAGAGGTGAATGCGTGAGGTATAAAGAGAGGGTTTACTTGTCAGGTGACCTGACCAAGGGACCCTATACTGAGGTACCTGTGGAGCCTGTCTCTGGCTTCTTACAACCTTTGTCGAAGTGTTCGCCAGTCCGGACTTCGACCGCCTGTGGTGGGTGGGTCGCTTGGTCCGGGTCCAAGGGGTCCCCCCCGGACGGGTCCAACCGGTTGGTCTCGCCCAAAGTGACCGATCGATCCCTAGGGATCCAGTCGTAGCTCAGAAGGTATGACTGGACCCGACCCTGGCACCTACATGTCTCAGTGTTGAACACAGAAAACCGTACCTGAGGTTCGGTACGACTGGATCCCGGGGATGTTTGTCCTATATGCAGCAGAGGAATGCAGATGATTCGAATCAGTGGTTTCAGGGGTTCGATTGCACCGAAACAGATGTCCGAAACAAAGATGGGGGTTCCTACAAAGCACGGACATTGTGACATTGTGCCATCCACTCTCAATCCAGAACTACTCAGACTGTAAGACGATGTCCCTGACTTGTCTCATGGAACCGATTTCCAGCCATTCAGGTGGCTCAAAACTCTTGAGCGGTCCACCCTTTCAGCCGCAGCGGGGGAATTCTCGCAGACTGCGGTGGACGGGTCTGGATCAAGTTACTCTTTCCAAAGATGAGTGGAGTGAATGGAGCGAGCTGAACTCCACATAAATGCAAGAATCCACACTGAGAAAAAGACAAAGGAGCCAAGGATATGACAAGACTAGCCACATCACTTCACCAGCAACATGAGACTTGACAGAGATAAGAGGTATAGAAAAAGCCCAGACTTTGATCCAGACCTGCCCATAGTTGGACGATGTTTCAGTTTTGCTGCTCTTCTCGGGATGCAAAGAGCATTGAGAACGAGAAGAAGGACTTTGATGAGGAGCTGCTGCTAGATTGAAATCGAAACAACGGGGACAGCCTGGGATGCAGTATGTAATTGTTCTCTCAAGATTGGTCGATCACCAGGTGCTTCCTCGGCTGCGCAAAATCCTGGATCATACTCACTGGGGGGGGAGAAGAAAGAAGTTCAGGCATGGAGAAAGGCACCAAGCCCTTTTGGACTCCAGCTGGGCAAATGTGACCCAGACTTAGGGGCTTGCAAAGGAGTGATATGTAGAATTCTATGGAATTCAAAAATGCATTTAGCCATATTTATCACCCATCAATTAAAAAGACCAATATCTCATCAGATATGGTCCACAAGCAACTGATCACTACTTTCTCCCAAGCAAGCAGCCGCAGAGATACCCCACAGATACCCCGTGTCATGCACAGTCAGCACCGTTCCTGTCAACCGCTGGAGGAGTTGTTGGACGGCTTTGCCTGGGCGGAGCGCAGCAACCTGCTGCGTTCGTCGCCCTCGAGCATGCTCCGGCGGAAGCTGGACGGGGATCTGGAAGCCACTTGAAGCGGACCGGACACCGTGGATGATGGAGGCATTTGATGGCTATAAGATGCGAACGAAAGGCTCAACTCCAATGCATTGAATACCTCCAGAACCTGAATCGAATCCATGGAATGTCCGCCTCCTGCTTGAGTGGAAGCGATGTGAGATGATGAAGCAGTGACAAAAAAAACGGAATATTAAACACATACCAGAACATACAACACACACACACACACATGTGTGTGTGTGTGTGTGTTTCGCCGATCAAGCGGGTGCCACAGCGTTTCGCTAGCTTTCACCACTCAGGTTTGGGTGCATTTCTCTCCAGACTACTGGGCCAAGAAGAGGAAACCTGAGACGAGACCCATGGAGGGGACTGGCCCCGCTTCTTCGAGCGTGTTGAGACCAGTCGACCCCGAAGCCTTTAACTTTACAAAGATCAATGAGCAGCCGGGCTAAGGGATGGGCACTGGGATGGGCGGTTGACGATTTTCTTTGGGTTTTGTTGCTTTTTTCTATTGGAAGATTGTGGCTTTCGACCTCCCAATGGAGCAATGGCTAGAAACAGGTTACAACGTAACATATTGTGGAAAACACAAGTTAAACACGTTGGGTTGTAAGACATGTTGTAACTACAGTAATAATATTAAACTTATACAGTATCATGCATTGACACACACATAATCACACAGTATCATAGTCTCATATATCTACTGTAATTATTTCTAAAATATATCACTTCAGCTGGTGTACTTGAGTTTAGGTGATTGTTTGGAGGATCGGACCAGTCAGCGGTCGCTCAGCGGGTCACGCCGTTCAGCCAAGGCAGGAAGTGCTCAAAGACGCGCTGGTACCGCCACAGATGTGCTCAGAAAGTTTTGCTTGCCAGTCCCCCAATGTAGACTCTTGATGAATAGCCCTCCCCATATGAAGATGTTCTTCAATCCAAATTGGAGGGGGTCCCAATTCGTTTGTAACACCTTTTCGGATGAGGCGTTTATTCATCAAGAGTCTATATGACCCATGGAAGTGCCACGTGTGGATCCATCCAAACCCATCCTTGAAAAGCGCCCGTGCTTTCAGTCAGGCGTCCAGTCTTAGAAAAGCCTCCCTCCCCCCCTCCACAGTCCAAGGAGGTTGGAAGAACCGATGATGTTGGATCAACAACAACCCTTACTTAAGGGTTATATGTTGTAGGGTGGTAGTGTGGGGGGGGTTGGTGTGAGTTGTAGTCTGGTCGGAACCGAACGAAGACCCCGTATTTTCCGGTGTTTTGGGGTCACCCACGGACCACGTGGGGCGGATTGGATGGGGTATAATGCCAACACCTGATTAATAAACGCCCCCCCCCCTTGATGAGATGAGGACCTGGACCTGATGATGGATGATGGTTCATGGGATTCTGTCATGAGAAATTGAAGCATGAGAACCATGAGAGCTCTGAGTGTATTGGCACAAGTTTGATAAGAGATCAGATAGGATTGATCAGAGAGCCATGCCAATTGGATCATTGCATATCAGAGCATGGAGGATGAGGAATGGGAGGTGACGCTATTGAATACTAGCAAAAAAAAGAAACCAATAAAAAACACTATAAATACAATAGTAAACTATATGTTTTCTGGGGCAGCTGGGATTGATTAATGGGGGGAGGTGGTCCCACTATTGGGGGGGGTACGGCCTGTGTGAGGGGTACCCTTTGTGAGCTTGAAAAAGTTAAGACTTTGACATTGATAGAGTTTTAATAAGGGGAACATGAAAGACTTTTGCTAGAGAGTTTTTGATGTTTTGGGGGATGGTTGGTAGCTACCTCTCAAAGATCAGAATGCTATCTCTCAAAGAGATGGCATGAGACAAGGGTTGATCAGAAGATCAGTTTCACCATGGACCAGAAGATATTGAATACTAGAAAAAAGAAAATAGATAAATATAAAACCAAGTATATTTTTCTGGGGAGCTGGGGTTGATCAATAGGGGTTTGTTTCTTCACTGTAAAACGTAATTATTACGGTGATGCCAAGGTTGGAAATCCAGGTTTTGAATTGGTTTAATATTGGGGGGTCGAGTTGGGATTGATTAATAGGGGGTGGTTACTTAATCCTGTGTGCGCACTACCACCGTCCGTTCCTTCGCCTCCATCGTGGGGGGGCGGCACGTGTTTTCTTGGTCCAAATCGACTTCCAACTGTTCCATGCCCCACGCCAACGAGAACTCACCAAGCTTTGAGGGAGTTAGAAGGTTCCGGCCATTAAGAGTTGCAGGATCTCCAAATCACAGAAGTCCCTTGGATCTAAAGAATTCTTTGTCAACCACCCCTTGGTGGCTCCTGACTTATTTTACTTTGCTTTGGATGTCGGGCGGTGCCAGCTTCCTCACCTAGGAAGTGGGCAGCTGGTCGGTCTCCTGGCCAGCTTAAGCCAGGAGCTGGTCGGTCTTGCATGAGCGGATTGGGGCGATGGAGGATGATGGATACGTGCCATCAGATTCCTTATTTGGTCTACCAATGGTCTACCATATCAACCCTTCCCCCCCTACCCAGGCCATTCATGGCACTGGACTAGTAATAATATATATATATATATACATTAGGTTATGTATGTCACTTATGTACCTACTATTCACTATTCCAGTCCCATATTTGGATGGTCTGGGCTGGGCTTCAGTTCCTAGCTCCAGTTCCGGTGTCCGATCGTGTGACTGGAGTGGATGACTGGAGGGCTCCAAGTTCTGAGTTTCGGAGATGTTCAGAGGTCGTATTTGAGCAGACCAAAACCACTTTGGACTGCCCTTAGCTTAGGAATTTGGGGGGTTGACACAACTCATAAAACAACAGCAGGGCTTTCGTCAGGCGGAAAAGGGTTCCCCGAACTCCCACCGATCCGCCTGTTCCCCAAATCTCATTTAAACATTTCCCACTTCTCACACATTTCCCCCCCTGAGTTTCTCCCTGTTTTCTCACCTGAACTGATCACGAGGTCTCCGTGTTGGCGTGTATCTCTCCCTTGTGCTTTGGGCATGTCCTCTTCGTCCCGGACCGCGCCAAGCTTCGGCCACAAGCCCTCACGACCGAGCTCATCTCTTGCGGGCTGCAGCTGCTTACAGCATCCAAGCGGAGTGACTTCCGGGCCCTCTTGGGAAAGTCTTAGCAGATGTTTTCTCTTCTTTCCCTAGGGATCCAGTCGTACCTTCTTAAAAGGTACTTGGACCCTCCAAACCTACATAACAGTGTCGAACACATCACCTGCTGAGAAGGTACTTGGATCCCTAGGGTCTGTATGTGTTGTTGATGTGTGTTTTTTTGGGGTGGGTAATTATCGTTGTTAAGGAAGGTGGTTTTCTTCTAAGCGCTATTATTTGTTGTTGTTCTGGCGGATGTTGTTTCTCCCAGCGCCACCCATGCACTGACTGGGTGCTTTATAGACCCCCCCTGACGATGCATGTTCCGTCCCATGCCCCCCCCGGTTTGCCCAATGAATGGTGAACATACTGGAACAAAGACATGTGGCTCTAAAGACATCAGACGGTACTGTTGTTCCAGCCGCAGGGTATTTGGGGGGACTAAGGCACCTCACACCAACTGAGTGAAGGACAACTGACCGAGGAGCTCCATTATATGGCTACATTGACCCCTGAAATCAACCACCCCAATGCCTAGCACATCCAATGGATGCCCTGGAGTAGGAGACCTGTTTACGTAGGGTAGGGTAGTCTAGCCAGGACACCCATTGGATGATCCTGATGTATATGAATAGTTCAGTCCCATGGGTCCCTCCGTGGGGCCGGCCTTCGGCTTGCCCAGGTAACCCTGGTCGGTCAGGCAGACGAGGCAGCACATGTCTCAGGTTCCACGAATAAAAATCCTTGAAGTGGCAAGCAAGTCATCCAGAACTTCTGAAACCCATTTCGAGAGATAGATGATCGATCGGTACTACATGGCGCATCATCCCTTATATGGATTCCATGTGATCATCAATGATAATCTAGATCCCAGGGCATCCAGTTGCCACTATAGCCGGTAACCAGTGGTTCCAAAGACTAAACCCATAGACCCAACGAATCCCTGGTTCCTTATGGTGGTTTGGCTGGGATCCACTGGGGATGTGTTCTATCATCAGGGGTCTCCCAAACATCAGGCGGACGTGTGGGAGGTGACAGGTGTCTCCCGAACCCCCTCTCAGGTGGTCTTCAACTCCATGTCGCTCGGCGGCATCCGGATCCTCCCATCGGATCCGGTCGATCCGTTCGATCGGTGTTTGAGGATGGTCCAAAATCAAAGACGTCACTCAGTTTAACTATACGTACCAGGACACCCGGACCAGGCTTTAAGGGATGTCTATTGATAGCCCCGAAAAGAGGTTAAGGGATGTCCATGAACCACCCGGACCGTGGGTCCTAGTACCTTCTCAGGATGTGGTTGGAGGTGTGAGCCCATAGGGTGAGCGCCTCGAGTGCCGTGGCATGGTTCGCCACGCTAGGTCTGGCTTTGCTTCGGTGAACCATTTCCACTACCACGGCCTCTTCTTGGACCATGCGGGCTTGATTCCTCGAGAATTAAGGTCGCATCCTTTTTATTGTGGTGTTTTCCAATGAAGTTATCATGTTGTTTCTTGTATGTCTCGCATGCAAAACCATTAGCGTCGCATGGATAGATGGAAAAGCACCTAAATTCATGATGATACAATGAGCATTCTTAAGAGGAACCCATCTAAATTCATCTAGATGATAATGATCTACAATCTTCATGTCAGACATCTGCAAAAGATTCTGACATCCCATCTCAGGAAGCGTTTGCCCGTGGAGTACATGTCGCGCTCGCGCGTGGCCGGCGACCGCACAGAGGGTAAACTTTGCTGCGAACTGCTGGTGGAGAGCTGGTTTTGTCGAGGTCTCATCCTCTCCGCGGGTGCCAAGGTGGAGCACGGCTCGGCATGCTCGGGGCTCGGGGGTCTTTGATGGTTTTGGGCCAAAAACGGCACACACGATACAAGCTCGACATCCCAAGATTGCATCATCCAATTGCAGTTCGTGGACCTCTCCATGTGTTGTGTGTGTGTCCAAAAGGAATGAATGGACCTGAAACAATTCCAACGTGTCGCACAAGGCACATCCGGACCCCCCTCCGCTGGCTTTCTCCCAGCTCACCGCATCGCAGGAAGGGGAGCCTCCTGAGGGTGCAGCCGATTTGGATGCCTTGACGGACTTTGCCGGACGGGTGGTGCAGTTCTTGCAGGAGAAGAACCTAGCGCACAACGTGCCCCTCATGGATTGGGTATGGGTGGATGAGTGGGGTGTAGTTTCCACATCCTGTTTGTGCGCATGTTGAAGGTACATTAGAGTAGGAACAAGGACGCTACTAAGAACAAGTGCCTTACTAGTATAGTAGCAAGAATCTAGTAGAAACATTACATAAATTGTCTAATTATTATATAGGGTTCCCAGGTCCCAAGTATAGCTGGCATCACAAGCACCTTGGAAACTAAGTTAGTTGGAGTCCTTCATGCAATGTGGAGTAATTGCTCGGTGATGTCGAATGATGTGATTTGCTGGGCTGGAAGTGGCGTGTGTTTGTGCTGATGATGTTCGAGTGGCCTAGAAACTCTTGGAAGAAGCAGTCTCAGAGAGTCGGGTTGGTCGCATTACCAGTAACAGTCGGTTTTTCCACAACTTTTGAACAAGGCCTTTACTAACTATCATCATCCACTAGTTACTGGTAATGGGAAAGGCCCAATGTATCAGGTCGTATTTTCCTTACAACTCTTTGGCCTTGGACTGCAGCAACCCTTGATTCTAAGACGTTCACTTATTATGTAAACGCACCATGTTACATCCCGTTCGTTTTTTCGGTAGTGCTTAAGGTGATGGTTTCGTTTCCCTATATGGTTCAATCCCGTTTCGTTTGTTTCGTTCCAGAACGGGGACCCATATATGCAATCCCGAATGAAATCACGAGTTTTAAGATAACGCGGACCCAGACAGCCCTGTCTCACTGCGGGGTCTTAACACTAGTTGGTTACAAACCTATCTCGTTCTCCAGATCTCGTTCCCCTGTCAAGCCCTGCCGGTTCCGGTTGTTTTCGAGCGGCCCGTGGGCCGTTGGTGTTTGTTCTGGGAACCGGTGATGATTGTTTTGTGTTTCATTTGCTTCAGGTGATGTTTGTTTTGACCTGATGCTTGTTGACCTGGGTTTGCATGTTTGTGTTCATTTGCTTCAGACGTATTCAAAGAAGGCACATTTGGAGTCGAGCTTGTGTTTCTTTCTATTCTGACTGCCGTCCTTCTCGAGAGGGAACCAAGCCCGATGGAAAAGTCAAAGCCAGAAGATGAGATGCTTAAACTTAAACCGGGCAATTCAAACCTGCAAATGACCACTCGTTTTGACTAGACATGATAATGCTGATAGCAATCAAGAGCCAAACTCTTGGGATATATATATATATAGTCGAGGATGTTTTTATGTTTTTCACAGTTCAACTTCGTTCTTGACTCTCCATCCAACAATCATGAAAGTGGAAGAACCTCCCCGTGGAGGACAAATATTATATACTTTTTGAGCTACTTTCTGCATGTTTCTTTTTTTTTGTGTCCTCTATTTGGGCCCACTTCCAATCTCAATGGTCTTCTTGCTGTTTTGGCCTGTCCTTCTGCGCCCGACAAAACCTGCGCCCTGTCCGCCCATCGCCGCCCAATGCCCGCTGTTTGCGCTCCGAAAACGACCCCGTCACGAGGTGATGTTCGTGCCTTACCTTGGAGAGCGGATCAAACCGCTCTTCGACCCCTACGAAGTACAAGAGCCTCGGGCCGGTCGCGCGTGCCACGCCGTTTTCGGTCTGGGAGGGAAGGCCCAGGTAAGGGACACCCTGCCTGCCAGCTGGTTTGGTGCCTAGAGTCCAAGGGCAAGGCGTTGTGTATGTGCAAACCAAATGATTGCCGCACAGAGTGTGGCTTGTTTCTGCGTGTATTCTGTGTTTTAATTTTGCTCCTTCGGCCACTGTGAGACGTTTCATCTCTGTAGAGTCATTTTCAAGCAGACCAACGATCAATTGATGGCAAAGAAAGAATGCGAGCTGCTTCGCATGCTCCATGGATGTCGCGAATCTCTCTATTCAGCATACCATATTTCACTTTTAAAGATCCGTGGCCGGATCACCTGTAGACCCGTGGCTCTCCAAACCAGGTCTTATGGGTCCAAACCGATCACTTTTAGCTTGTTTTGTCGACATCCTGTGAGCAAGCATCCCAACAATACCTTGCAACAAGTCTTGCAACATGTATATAACATGCGCATGACTGCCCAGTTTTCTTGGGGAAACTCATCATATAATAGGCTGATTGCCCTCCGCTGACCGCTCGGAATAGCTGAGACATTGCATCGCTCGAGAAGGGAAGAAAAAAAACAGCGGACTCCCGAGAGGGAGGCGGCAAGTCACTCAAGGCATTCAACCTCAAAAGTTGGAGGTGCCTCGTGTGGATGTTGATTTCAGGGCCTTCGTCCCAACTGCTGCGCCCTATAGCGTGTGGACGGTTTGCATGACCTCGACTGGGTTTTGAAGCCAAGTCAAGTGAAGGTGTTACCTGAACAAACTTGGAATCCCTGGGATCTTTGGGGATTCTCTTCCGTTTGTTGCACAAAAGAGCTGACCATCGGCGGCCAGATGTTGGCCTGCCGCATGCCGACGAGACTCCCGAGCGCCCGACTCCCGAGCTTGATGGAGCCCTCGCCCATCTCCGACATCGACCGTTGTGTCCGCGTCACGGGCCACGCCCCCAGGACGTGCCTCCTCCCCGGGCGGCCTCGCCGGAGATTTACATCTTTCCACGGAAGCCCGAGGGTGACTGCCGCGAGGAGCGGACCGAGGTGCAGATGACCTGGTGAAGTGCGGAGGAAAGGTGATTAATTAATTCTCAGACACGACCAATGGGACGGGACTGCTCAATTTTCCGATCAGGCCAGGGTTGGTGCCTGGGGGGGGTCAATGGGGCGACAGTCCTATGGCAGTCCCAGACAGGTCGTGTCTGGGAGATTTTCCCGAACTGGTTAATAAATCATGATAAATCAAGTTCAATCCCCATATGCATGGGGGAATATGAATATGTTCCATTTTTTCCAGGCTTCCTGGACAGCAAATCCAGGATGAGTGTCTATAAGAATAGGGGCGTTGGCCCTTTTGACATAGACACCCATTATGGGTCGACAAAAGGACCAGTCGGACCAGCAGGCTTGAAGACTGTTAAATTAAGAATTCCTTCCAGATCAAGAGCTTGTTCAATCCAAATGAGGGGGGGATAACAAATCAAGAGTCTACAGTCTACATTAGATTTCTGTGTCCCATTGAGCAGGAAGGTGCAGTACAAGGTATTAAGAACACCCTGATGTTTTGTTGAGCCATGTCACCATGTCGTCGTGGTGGTGTATGGTGGTTTGGGATGGTTTGGGTGTGGATGATGGGTGTGAGAGTGCTTTGTGGGGTCCTTCGAGTGTTGTGGGGTGATTGCCAGTTTGGACACAGGTGGAACACTGTAAAACCGTTGTTGCTGGTGGTATCCAAACACGCCTTCACACGTAAAAAAACCACTGGTCGCTATGCAACCACCGAACAATAACTATCAAGACGCGTTTAAAACGCAATGGTTTTGAATGTAGTTTTTGAAACCAGTTGCTCGCTGTATTGGATTGCCTAGATCGGGGTGTGGAGGTTTGCAAAGAATGCAACTGGTTTGTCAGGGATAAAACAAATTCTCTACCTAGCACTTTCATTGGGTGCCCAATGGAGACCTATAGGTAGGGTAGGGTTGTCCGTTGGAAGCACCTGGTATGCATTCAATTTGCTATTCTGCTTCGGCTTCCTGCTTGGTCTACGGATTTGGCCCATCGGAGGACCCCGGCTTCAACGCGGCCATTTGCGAGATGTCGGGGCTGCTCTTCGCGCATGACGAGCAGCGCTTCAACAGCTTCGATGAGGATCGACACGTTGGGATCCGGGGACCGAACATGGCTGCTGTTGATGTGATGTGATTGGCGGTGACCTAATTGACCTGAAAGAATGGCTTGGTAGGTTGGCTTAGGATTGTGAAGCCCTGTTTGAAGAAAGAACACACCATGAAAAGGTTTATCTTTATGTCTAGAGTCTAGACTTGGCAATCTTGACTTGCCACTGTAAACTGTTTCAGCTCCGCTGCCTGCCTCATACACCACGACACGAGCTTTGCGAGCCAGGATCAGGTGGCCGAAATCTTTAAGCAGGATGTCTCAATGGATGGGCATGACTTTGACGATTTGATTTGCAAAGTCGCCTGGATGATACCCTAACAACTCGAGGACTTCGTCATAGGCATTTGGCAGATGAAGATCCGCTTGAGTGTGAGGAAAAGAAGCGCTTGCACGGACTTGCCGTGTGAAAAACTACGCCGACTTCTCCAAGTCTTGTCCATGCAAAAGCCTCCAACTATAGGGGTGAACTTCTCATAAGTCTCGTCCTTTTCAATGAGCTCCAAGCATTTTCCAAAGAAACTGTCCAGACGAACCGTCCTCCAATCGACTCCCCACCTCCTCGGCAGCCCAGTTCTCCAGTCTTTCGAGACGGATCCCCCAGGTGGTGAGATCACGACCTTAGAAGCGTGGCCTCGCCCTTGGGAGCGGGAGCTGGGCGGGAGAGGACGAAGAGCGGCCGAGGATGGGGGATGCAGCGACCGAGTGGTTCTTCAAAGTGACCGTACTTGATAACCTGGTTTGAGGTCACTTAAGCCTCCTAAGGGTCACTTAGGAACCTTCAAAAGGTCACTTTGAAGAAGCTGGCTGATGGGATTTGGATGGATTTGGGGTTAACAAACGTTTGGAACTGAATGGCATTAGCAGACTTGTACATGACCGGCGTGCCTCCCAATACGCCAGAGGATCATTTCATGTGGTCTTCTCTCGGTGGGCAGCAGGGGTTCGAAGTTTTGATGGCTTTTTGATGAGCCCATCCAGTGTGTGGATCAGGCGCCACACTCGAAAAACCTATTCAGAAGTGTTTGAATGCTGGAAATGGGGGATGGCCGCCGACGGCCGCTAAGCAATTTGACATGATCGGAGGTCACTCAAATGGGCCTTCAGTTCGAGGTTGCTCGGGCGGCTCTTTGAAGGGCTGTGCAACCACCTGCAATGGTGCAGTCCCGAAAGCAGTAGGGCTTTCGGCCATCCCTTGCGGAGGCCTAGACTGGTGGCCCAAAGCAAGCGCTGCGTTAACGGCGTTTCGCCATTCAGGTGCAATGAGCTGGCCAAGGTCCCGTTGAAGGGGCAGCCCGGGCGCTACTGGGCCACTTGGATTTGACGTTTGCAGAGGCTTTGGCCATAGCATGTGGCAGTGTAGACAGTGTAGAAGGCTCCCCAACTCCAGCAGTTGACGACTAAAACGGGCACTTGATGTAAAGCGATGCAGTGGAGGAGTTGAACATGGATGCAGGAAAGTGTTGGAGGATGCTCCTTTGGTTTCAAATGTTTGTTTTAGAATGCGATAAGCTGATTGTTCACGTCGTCCCCTGCAAAAGAACTGCTGAGCTGCTGAAGTCCTATGCGCTATGCCTACTTGCTAAGGATTACAGCTACAGCCTCGACGTGTTAGGGCGTGCTCGATGCCCAGCCGGGTGGTGGTACTGCACACCTGGCACTCCGTATTTGGGTGTCATGTTGCCCGCTGGTCCCAGGCGTGATTGGCATTGATTTGCTAAGGGCTTCTAGAAATCTACACCTTCAGAGACGGTGCTGCTCCCCCAGCTAGCGATCCAAAGCCATCAGCATCATGGACAGGAAATTCAACTGCACATGTCATTTCAACTGTTTCAGGGTCAGGACGATCAGGCGAATTTGAGGACCAGTGGCAAATGTTGAGGGACCATCGTTGGGAGACTGACAAGCGCTTGTCAGCGCTTGTCAGCGCTTGTGGACGTGTGCAGATACAAGCAACTTGCTTGGCCCGGGTGATGCTACGAGATGATGTGTCCAATCGCTTCAAGGGAGGTAAAGTATTTGGAATGTTTGTGTTTTTTTGCTATCCCTAAGGATCCAAGTACCCTCTGAGAAGGTGTCTGGGGTGGGTTTGGAGGATCCAAGTACCTTTTGAGCAGGTACTTGGATCCCTAGGGTATATAATGTTCATGGCATCTCCCAAGGTACCTGACCCACTGATGCAGAGCAGTTCCAAAGGGATGTTAGATGGAGGGTAGGGTGCCCATGATCCACTCGCTAGGGGTCCGATAGCAATCCCTTTAACAACTGCTGGTGCATTGGGTGCACACTTAGGGGTCCGATTCCGATAGCTGTTTTTTTGGGGGAACTGCTGGTGTGCACATTTATTATATTATTTTGTGTTCAACTATTTGTTTTTTTCAGGCGTTGCAGTTTTTGTGCCCCTCCTTGTTGACCTGGGCTCCACCTTGCATCAGGGCCTGCAGAATCCTGCAGATTCAAGTTCGTTATATAATACATATATATATATACACATATCTATGGTTGGCATAAGCACCTTGCCAGACACCAGCGGTTCTTGATTTCAGGGCCATGTGGCGGCCATGTGATGAACTGCTATTGAAACATGTCAGGTTTTTGTAGCGTTTCTGCTTCAAGCATGCTAACCACCTTAACATGAAGGAGCTCGCTCGAAGAAGAAGAAGAAGGAGAAGAAGAAGAACCATCTCAGCCTGGGCATTGCGGACGAACAATCAGAAGGATTTCGAGGGTTGCAGAAGGCTCTACCTAACCATACCTAACCCCACCATTTTCCCCCACACCTTACAGCCTCGCGCTTTCGTTTCTGGCCATCCTGAAAGAGAAACCGTTGCCTTATCAGACAAAGAATGCAAGTAAGTGGAAAAAAAACACTTTTCAAGCCATCCGGTTAAGAGAACTCAGCTGTAGTGAAGTTGAAGCTCCAACTTTAGTTGGCCGTTGGGGGAATCGCTTGTTGGGGCTAGAATCTTCATATTAGGATCATCAAAAAGTAACAGGAGCTCACTTGGTGAATCCTGTCAGGTTCCAGGACAAGACTTCACTCGGCCTCACGAGTTGGTGCCTGGAGAAACCCAGGTCTGGGTTTGGCAGCTTGAGCCATGTGCTAAAAAATTGAAGAAGAACCCTAGCAGCCCTAGCATACTCGTGAGGACTTCAAGTCTTAGACATGTCTACCTGGCACCAGCCGATGGATCGCCAACCATTCTGACTGGGGGCCTTTTAGCCATGCCATGGTCATGTGCTGCCGCTTCCTCCTCACGGTGTGGCTACTGCAGAGGTACGCGCCGTTTTCTGCGCTTTTGGTCATTGGTCATTGATGAAATGCAGCATTGGTCAGGATCGTGAGGATTTTCACTTCAGCACAATGATGTTATATATCAATCGTGTGAACCCGCGGTGGTTTCTCTTCCAATAGAGGTTGAAGAACCTAATGATACCTTATATATATATATATATGTCCCAGTTCGGTACCCCAGGTTACGGGTCTTTTGTCAGGTCACGTCACCTTTTTTGATGTGCTGGGTGCGTAACTGGGGTGTGTGCCTCGACTCATCGGTCTCACTGGATGGGTCAAGCCAAAGCAAACCCGGACTCGATGGACTGGAGAACATGCCCTGCACCGGCTTCTGTCAGTTTTCTGTTGATCTGCCCCACCAGAATGCCTTTACAGTCTATACATCTCAAATTTTTGGGAGGTCTTACGAATCAACAATCTACACTCTGGAAGATTAACATGGAACATCAAAACCACTTGGTTTTAAAGAAAAGTAGCCTTTCGAAGGTCCATTTTCAGGTCCCATGTTAATCTTCCCGGGTGTACATTTAACTCACTGATCTCGCACCTGCGGAAAACACCTCCACGCAGGCATGGCTTGGCCGCCGACGCTCAACCTGAGGAGGTGCCGAGATGGGAGCTGGTTCTCACAACGACAAGCGCATGTTTGGTACCTACCTGGACCAGTAACAAGGTTCGCTACGAACGGGGCTCGAGCGGCCTTACTACTATGGAGCGTTCGGACGCTACGAAAGGGGCTCCTGGCATCGCGACGAACGGCGCAACGCTCTACTACTAGTTAAAACGAATACCTGGACACACATGGACCTTGAAAGGGTGTCCTGTCTGGAGATCCCTAAGTGGTGGGGCTTCCAGCCAGGTGACCCCGACATGAAGGTGCGTCACCGTCGGCGCCCGTATGAACTCGCTCGTCGCTTGTCTCGTGGCCCGTGTGTTTGGACGCCAAAAGAGTCAAACATATCAAAGCATCTATATACTCTCCAACTCACCAACATGGAAGTGAAAATTTGACTCTGTATGACTAGTTTCCTTTGCGAACAGGGTGGTGTCCACTGTCCACTTCCATGTTAGTGAGACGGAGTGTATCAAACATCATCTATCAAGCATCAGCTACATGGCACCAAAGGGACAGACCAGGCACCAAAGGGACAGACCACCATGTACCGCGGTGCGTCATGGTCCATGCACAGATTCATAGACGGGTCAACAAAACATGGGCAGCGAGCACCACGGCGTGGAATTGCTCCTTTTTGCTAAGGATTCGATCATGCAGTCACATGTTCGCCGGCTGCCGGTGCCAACTCTTCAGGTGCTATTTTCCATGGACACATGCCGTAAGTCGAGACTCCGTTATCGGCACTCCTGGGCACTCCTCACACTCCTCATTCATTGAGAGTTTGGAGTGTACCTGGAAGGCTGCTTTGCTTGAAGAACAGGGAGCGGAATCTGCTTCCATGTTAGAGTGGGCAAACCACCCAATGAACTGGCTGTCCAAATGAGGGTTCTCCTGCGTCTCATTGCAGGAGAGCTGCTTTCAAATCGTACCGAGCCTGGGTGCAGCTGCCTGGGGCGGGCTTGAGGTGAGTGGAGTTTGCGTGTAAATAGAGTTAGTAGGTGACCCTCTCCCAACAGCCCCAGCCTGGTGTTGAAAGTGTTTTCGAAATCCTCCATTTCCAAACGCTATGTTGGGACACTGCGCATGGGTTGCACCATGGATTATTTGGGTGTGTGTCACATCCTACATTCATCATCAGTAGAACTTCAGCTTTTTTGATATGATTTAATCAAGTACCAGCACCCGACTCTACAGGTCAGCACCTGCGACTCTTTAGTTTACCTCCAGACCGACCTGTAGAGTCGGGTGCTGGTATATTTGACGTTTATGGCAGTTTTATTCTCGTGAAATCCTAGATGTTCCTCCAACAAAGGGGCGAACCTCAAGCCTTCAGTCCCATTCCTGCAGAAAAGAAACTCCTTTGGCTCTAATTGTTTTTCTGGATTTCTTGCGAGTTGCGCGAGTTGGATC